TAATACCAAAGGGAATATGAATTTAGGAAATAAAGGAAGAGCAATAGAAATCATAAATATTCTCCTCTTACTTAATATATGTATATTAAGTTATTAATATATCTAACAAATATATGATGGTTGGAAGCAAAAACTACATTGTGTGGTAAGATTTTCAACACATGTATATGTACTACATATCACAACTACAACATAAAGCAGGGAGGGGTAAAGAGACCTATAGGGTGGCAAGGTCTTTATTCAACTTTTATATAACCTTTCTCTTATATTCAACTTTAAGTGCTAAAATATTAAATCAAGTAGATTATAAAAATTTAAATAGTATTATAATCTCTGGTGCAACTATTAAAAAACTATATAAAGAGACATAGTAAAAAGGTAAAATGGAATACTCAAAAAATTCAATAATCCAAAAGAAGGCAGGAATGGGGAAACAGAGAAATGAAAAACAGAGGGTAAGCAGAAAACAAATAAGAGGGTAGACCTAAATCCAAATATCAATAATTACGATCTAAACACACCAACTGAAAGACAGACATTGTCAGACTGGATATATAAAAAAATGACCCAACTATATGCTGTCTACAAGAAATCCCCTTTCAATATAATGATATAAGTTGGTTAAAAGTAAAAGGGTAGAAAAAGATATATCATGCAAATACCAATCTAAACAAAGCTGGGTGGCAATATTAATATCAGACAAAGCAGACTTCAAAAAATTAACAGGATGAAGAGACACTGTACATTGATAAAAGGGTCAATTCCCCATGAAGACATAACAATCCTAAATAGGTATGCACCTAATAACAAAGCTTCAAAATATATGCAACAAAAATTAATAGAACTGAAAGGAGATGTAGAGAAAGCCACAATTTTAGTTGGGCACTTCAACATTACCGTCTTAGTAATCAATAGGACAAGTAAACAGAAAATCATGAATGGTATAAAAGAACTGAAACCACCATCAATCAACTGGGCCGAATTAGAATTTACAGAACACTCCATCCAGAATACATCATTTTTTTTTCAAGCACACATGAAGCATTTGCCAAGGTAGACAATATCTTTAATCATAAATTAAACCTTAACAAATTTAAAAGAATTGAAATCATACAATGTATGTTTTCTGACTATGATGGAATTAAATTAGAAACCAACAGAAAGGTAGTATATTTGTAATATATTTCAGAAGTGTATTACAACACATTTCTAAATAATCCATGAGTAAAGAAGGACATCTCAAGGGAAATTAGAAGATATTTTGAAATGATCAAAATGAAAATACAAAAAATCAAAATTTGTGGAATACAGGTCTCTAATCAATAACCTGAATTTCCACCTAGAGGTGGGTTAGGGAGAAATTGGTAAAGGGCCACAAGAAATGTTTACATTGTGTAACGATAAAATTTAAAAATAAATAAATTTTAAAAACAATAATCTGTATGCTGAAAACTACAAACACTGATGAGAGAAATCATTGTAGAGAGTAAAAAATGTCAACACTCCCCAAATTGATTGATAGATTTAATGCGATTCCTATAAAAATTCCAGCAGGATTTTTGTTGTTGTTGTAGGCCAATTGATTTCAAAAATTATATGGAAAGGTAAAGAAACTAGAATAAACAAAACCATTTTCAAATAGAAGAATAAAATTGGGGGAATCACACTACTATAAAGCTATGGTAATCAAGATAGTGTGGCACTAGTGAAGGGAAAGATGCATGTATCAGACAGAATAGGGTCCAAAAACAGACCCCCCACAAAGGCACAGAGGCAACTCAATGGAGAGCGGAAGTTTCAACATATGGAGTTAAAATTAGCCTCAACTTAAACCTCACACCTTATACAAAAGGATAAAATAAATAAATAAATAAA